TCATCACCTCCAAGACCGTGCTGCTGCTGCTCAGCCTCGCCTTCTGGGTACCGCGGGGCTGTCCCGGGCCGGGGGGGAACGGGGTCTGACAGGGGGACACGCTGCTGGGCGATCCCGCAGTGAGCCGGGCATGGAGCTTAGCTGTGTGCGCTCGTACATTTCTGTAGCAACGCCTAATTACGTGTTTATAAAGAACAAGGAGATTTAGGGGGTTAAGTTTTTAAGAAAAAAAAAAAAAACAAGGTCAGAGCTTGTTACTTTTTTTTGTTCGTTTTTTTTTTTTTTTCTTCGTGGCGTGTTTTTAATGTTCCCGGCATTTTAGTAGTGTTTTTAGTTACAGCAGTCTACAGCCGCGTTTTGTGGTCTAAAGGAAATGAAGCTGCAAGGCGAGGGCATTGTACAAGGGCTGTGCTCCGTATTTGGGGCCAGAAGACTTTTGGGGAGGAAAACTGCTGAGAACTTTGTTCCAGCTGTGTCCTTGGCACAGTTACGGCTTTCCAGATCCCTTCCGCGATAATTATTTACAAGCGAGTGAGAAAATGAGGGTGGTTTGTATAGTTTTTAGCCTAACCCGCGTTGGTTTGGGGGTGTTGGCATCGGAGGCTCGTGGCACGGTGCCTGGGGACAGTGACAGCGGGGGCTGGTGGCTGTTCTGGGGGTTGTTCTGGCATTCCCCCTGCATGGGGAAGTTTGGAAAACCCCCACCATCACCATGGACCGTCCTGGGACCTGTGTGCTGCTGTAGGAAGGGCCGTGTCACAGCTCAGGTGTGTCGGGCCGTGGGCTGGGGGTTCACGGCTGCTCTGTAGCACCTGGGTGTTTTCCAGACGGGGCTTTGCCAGGGATGTCCCAGCCTGCCGGTGACAGCCAGGGCCTGGAGCTGCTCGGCCAGGCTGGGCTCAGCGTGGCAGTGCCCCTTGCTCTGGGTGAAGCAGGGGCTCTTTCTGAAGAGAAGGACCAAAGTTTGCCAAAGAGAGAGGCTACACGAGGAGAGAAAAAATAAGGCAAAAGAAGGAATCCTGCTCTAATTAATCCCTGGGGCCTCGTGGGGTGTGGTGCCATTCTGTAAAAACATGACTTGCTGCTGGCTGTGGTGAGGAGCTTGTCCCCTCCATCCTGTGCCTCCTTTATGAGGCCCAGCACAGTTTATTGCTGCGTGTGCTCCATGTAGCTCCTGAGCCACTGACACAAATGGAGCTGCAGCCAAGCCACTGCTGCACACCAGGTGACATGGTCTCACTGTGTCTGCTTGGTTGGTGGTGATTTTCTTTTGTTTTTTTTTTTGAAGTAGCCACAGAGAAACATCGCAGCATCCCTCTGTTTGTATGTGGAAAGCCCCTGAGCCTCAGAACAGGTGTACCTCAGCTAAGCATCATTGCTTGGCTTTTTGGAAACGAAACAGCCTTATATCCTCCTAGAAATGTCTCTGGTGCTTTTCCCTCTGCTGTAGGAGCACTCTCTAGTTGTGATTGGTGATCTTCTTCCATGGACTGTCAGCAATGATCCTTGTGCACGTCTCTGGCCTCTGAATTTGGGGTGACCCAGAGCAGCCCTTTGGGTTGTTTTTCATCCCAGTAAGAGCAGTGCAGCCTGGTACCTGTGGCATTTAGATACTGCTGCCGCCATTATGTGTGGTAATCACATTCCAGCAGCAGAACTGCAGAACCTGGAATTCTGGTTTAGGAGGGTGGAGATGAAGGGACTGATTCTTTTATGCTCCTGCAGAACATTTCTAACAGTCAGGGCTCTGTAAGTACAAGGCTCCAGATGATTGTGAAAACAGGATTTGCCAAGAACATCAGAGCCCTTCTCCAAGGAGTAATTCATGTCCAGACATTGCATGCTGCAGATCTTTCCCAGCTCAGAAGTGATTATGGAAAATAATTCACCACCTGCGTAGTCAGCAGATGGTGCAGATGTTGCTCTTTGACAGAAGTTATTACTTGAGAATATCCTAAAAAGGCAAAAAATCCTCTTTTGGCTATCTGATCATTATCATGCAGAGTGAAGAAGTCAGATCTTCCACGATGACAAATTGGGCTTCCTAAATGAGGTGAAAAAACAGCTTTTCTCCTAAGCACTCGGCTCAGCATCATAAGTGCAGGTCATTCTGCAGGTCAGGCACCTATGCATAACTCCCCCCAAAAACTCAGTGATTAAAGATTATTTAATTATAAGGTTACCACAGGTGGTGCTTCAGGCTGTGGGAGTTCTTCCCACCTCCTCTTCTGCTCCTGAGCACCTACCAATTAGGTGCAAGTGAGTGGTAGTTTTGGTAAGTGGGTGCTGGCCTGCTCCAGGGGAAGGCTGGGGATGCAGGTTTATCTCATGGGTCCCAAAAGA